AATGTATGCCTTAGAGTAGTTGGACTTAATTCTCTAGGGGAACCCCTCTGAATAAGGCAAAATATGCTCTCTCATCTCCTGTTATTCTTCTTCTAAAAGTGGTTATTACTGTCTGGTATTTTTCCTCATTTATTTACTTATTTGTTTATTCCCTATTTCTTCTGCCTAGATTATACACTCCTGAAGAGTAGAGACTGTCTATTCTCTTTGCTGCATAATATGCATTCAGTAAGAATTTGTTGTAGGTAAGTAATGGAGATACAATGAACCAAGATGGAGAACTCAGGAGGATGAGGACTTCTCTCAAATCTTTCTAAGGCTGGGCTTCTCTTCCATTTCATTTTTCTTTTTTTGCATTATACCATGCTATGTATTTTTTGATAGTCCTCATCAAAACTCACAATTATTTCATTGTTATATGTGCTTATTGTTTCTCTCTTCTCCCTAGAATATGAGCTCCATATAATGAGAGACCGTATCTGACTTGCTGTTCTATGTATCCCCAATATTTCACCCAATGCCTGGCAATATAGCAGTTTTATTGTTTAAATAAATGTAAAGAGGGCAAGTCTCTGGGTAAAGAGACTCTGGTCCAGGCTGAGCTTAGATCAACCTTGCTGCAGACTTTTGAGCTTGTTGCTAAGCCTGTATGTGTCAGATTTCCGCATGTGTAAAGTGAATACCCATTAAGACCCACCTTATAAAGCATAAGGAATAAATCATTCTACACATAATTATTACATGCTGTCTTAGTCTGAGTTCCCCAGAAGCATTCTCTGAAACAAGGATTCTAGCGCCACTAATTTATTTGACAATGAATGCAACACTGGTAGAGGAGTGGGGAAAAAGAAGATAACCACCAGTGTGGGCAATGGAGCTTGATCCCACTGAATAAATGGGGAAACAAGGTAGAACGTGAGCCTCAGATTGATCCCACCAAAGAGAAATGGAGCTGGGGTATTTATACAATGGTCAATCTTTGATTGAGGGCTGTTCCAGGGGCTATTCATTTCCTGGCACTTCAGGCTGCCAGGAGGGTGGTGAACCTAGCTCTAAGAGAAAGCTGTCAGGCAGAGAAATACAGGAGCTGCAGGTGGAAGCTGGTCCCGTGAGCACTGAAGTGGTAAGGGCACTGGGATATGGGGTATGAGGGGTGCTTCCAGAAGCATCTGCTCCAAGTGTCTACTGTATGTCAGCAACAGCCCAGTATCTAGCCCAGTAACCTACATTTAGCAGGAACTTGCTTTTATTCACAAACCCTCTGAAATGTTATACAAACTATAGATAATTATACATTTTTAAGGGAAAAGTTGCTAAACTTTAATCAGATATTCAGAAGTATTTATGACCCCAAAGGGTCAATGGTATATGACACTATCTGACTTGAGATTTGTCCCTTTTCCCTTCACCCATTTGAAAACATGTTGAGTGCACCACAGAGCAGACATGAAGGCCATTCCTACTGACAGCCTCACAGCAATCTCAGGGGAAGTTTCAAGACTCTCCCCACCCATGAGAGTGGAGATTTGAGCCAAGTTTACCCAGTTTTCTGGGGCAAGAGGCACCGCCCCAGTAGACATCTTCTACACATGTCAAATGAAGATAACAATCTCTACCTTATAAGGCTGTTGGAAGAATTAAATGGCATAATGAAAGTAATATATTTAACTATCTAACATAGGCCCTGGTACCACAGCTCCTAGAGGGCAAATGCAGAGATCAAATTTTTATTCTTCGTTTATATGTCTAGAATCATTGGACACATCAATACATGCTGAGCTGAAATTTAAGTAGAGGGAAATGAGTGACAGGGTGAGTAGGCATCTGGACCACAGCGAGTTTTGGCCTCTTGGATATTTCCAGAGAAGGCATTTAAAGGTAATACACACAGAAAGTGCATTTATTGCATTAGCAGGCTGGTGTCACTGGGCTTGGACTCTCCAAGTGCTTAAATGACCCTCTGATAATGGAGACAGCTGGAAGGTCAGACATAAGGAGATGCTTCAGATGCATTTCCAAATATTTCCTTGCTGCAGGAGGTGGGGTCCAATAGAAATTGATTTCCTGACACTTGCCTAAAGGATGCCAAGTCCACATGCTCAGCTGAAAAGATTTCAATCTTAGGTACATTATCAAAAAAAAAAAAAGTGGCTTGGCTGGTACTTTTTTGTGCTGTCTGCATATTGGGCAAAGAGCCACCTAGAGAAGGTAAATGAATTCATAGCCTTGTAGACTCATGGGCTAGAAGTATTTTCAAACAATTGCTTAGAGGCATTGCAATAGCCTGGGGAAGAATCTGGGCTTTAGTAACCAGAAGGTCTAGGTATAAATTCTGGCCTGGTACTTATTCTATGGGAAGCATTAGACCAAATTGCCCTAAGCTTCATGGTTCTTACAAGAAATCAAATCCAGGTTGTGAAGATGAGCAGCGTGTGTGCACATGTGCGTGCCTGCAAGTGTATGTGCATGTGTGTGTAGAGAGAGCAAAAATGGTAGTTGTGATGAGTATCGAGCCCAGCCCTTACTTGGAGATTTTACAGCTGAATCAGTGAGGAGAGGAGGAGTTAGGCTAATTGCCTCCGTCAGGCTTATAAGTAAGCAAAATAGAGCAGAGTTCAGCAAAATACTGCCCACAGGCCAAATCTGGGCCTGTCTTTGTAAATGCCGTTTTATTGGATGACGGCTACGCCCATTCATTTCTGTAGTGTCTATGGCTGCTTTTATGCTAATAGCAACAGACTTGAGTAGTTCTGACAGGGACCATATGGGCCACTGGCCTAAAATATTTGCTATCTGACCCTTTACAGAAAATATTTGTTTACCCCTGAAATGGAAGATAAGTGACATTCACATTACCAGCTGGTGAGCTGGTGTCCTTGCGCCCATCTTTAGCGCCTGCATCTTCCAAAGCTAAGAACTTTTCTTTTTCAACATGGTGAGAAATATTAACAGAATTGACCCTGAAGGAGCCTCAGACTTTCATCACTCTTGCTACCCACATTCTTCCTTCTCCTCCATCCACCCCCATCCCCTCATCATGACCCCCAATTCTCTCTCATCCATTTAGCAGGGTGGGATATAGATCCGGACCAAGTTGCTCAACCAGAGTGTGCGGTCCCCCTGTAACCATGGTGTAGTATGAATGACCCCAGGCACTCTCCCCGGAGTATCAATTTTATAGAGAATCAGGTAAAATGTTATCTTTTTATAAAAACAAATATGAAGCTTTGAAGATGAAGCATGGGACTGCAAAAAAACTCCCAATCTGCTTTTGGTCCCCAGAATATCCTCCCCAGGAGGGACATGCTCACCCTTCTCTGTGTTGGGATTTTTAGAAGAGAAACTTGACAAGTGTTCTCTTTGTTGGAACCTGACATGTCAGAGTCAGATAGACCTGCACTTGACTTTCTGTTCCATGGCTAACTGGCTGTGTGTCTGAAGTGCTCCAAGACACCCACAGCTTCCCATTCTACAAAGTGAGGGGGAAGGGTAACTTCCTCGGAAGGTGTGGGTGACAGTGAGCAGAGACAATGCAGACAATTCCAAACAATGGTTCTCAAACCTGACTGCACATGAAAACCACTTGAGGAACTTTCTGGATGCCCACGCCCCACCCTCAGACTGATTAAAACAGAACGGGGAGTGGTGACTAGCACTGGCTTTTTTTTTTTTCTTTTTTTGAGGAAGATTAGTCCTGAGGTAACAACATCTGCTGCCAATCCTCCTCTTTTTGCTGAGGAAGACTGACCCTGAGCTAACACCTGTGCCCATCTTCCTCTACTTTATATGTGGGACTCCTACCACAGCATGGCTTGCCAAGCGGTGCCATGTCCGCACCCAGGATCCAAACCAGCGAACCCCAGGCCGTTGAAGTGGAACGTGCGCGCTTAACCACTGCACCACCTGGCCAGTCCCTAGCACTGGCATCTTTCAAGTTTCTCCAGGTGATTCTATTGTGAAGCCTTGTTAAGAAAAGACTGATGTGTATAGAAGTGTCAGAACGGCAGTGACTCATAACCGGTCAATAAATGGGAGTTTAAAGTGGGGTTGGGCAGAAGGCATTCACCTGGGACTGCCTACTCCCCTGCAAGCTCCAACGTACCCCCGGTGTGGCAAAGAGGCTGAGGTTAAGGTGCCACCCCACCCATATCATATATTTGCATTACAGAGCCTTATGGTGCCCTTAAATCACACCATGGAGACAGCTTCTGGCTCTGCCTGATGCCAGCCTCGGGTCTAAGGAGGTGGCTGCTCCAGAGGTGTCTGGGCCTGAAAGTCCATTAGCACCCATTAATGCACAGGAACCCATGTCCTTCAAGGACCTGCCCTTTGGGGGCCCCCAACAACTTATGACATGCTCTGGAAACATTCTAGAGCTAATCAAGTCTGCCTCTTGCTTCATTCACCTGCTTGCTGTGGACATGGAGAAAAGTGTGTGTGCGTGTGTGTGTCTATGAATTGACAGACTCTTGACCTTGGAGTAAGAGGTCTGGCTTCCCTCCCATCTTGTCCTGGCCTGGGTTCCTAAATGAAGAGCCTGAGTCAGAGCTCGCAGCGAGGTCGTTGATCCGGGAGGTAAGCCCAAGGAATAAGAGTGAAGCTCCGGTGAATGAAACAGCACAGAAGGAACACAAGTGGGAAAATCTGCTGTCAATCTGGTTCCCACTGGGAGTGACTGTGGCTTAGTCTCGGCCCCATTTGAAATATCCACCTGGGGGATGAAAAGGGGAAGCATTTATCCAACAGTTCCAGCCCCTGTTTGGTCAGGGGTGGCTCTTCCAGCATCAATCTCTCAGACAGTCCTTAAAAGCTGCGCAATAGTCCTACTGTGAGCCCGAGAAGCCCCAGGCAGGAGGACGGCTCAGGAACAAAAGCTATTGAAACTATAAGGAACTGTTGGCACAGAATCCGGGGCTGGGAGGACGGGGAGTCATGTAAAAAGGTGCTTGATGTAGGTAAGCTAACGTGGCCCTACAGGGTCTCAAACCCAGGCTACCTACCTCAGAGTCCTCTGCTCCTCACCACTGAGCTGGGAAACGGAGATTCTGGACACAGCATTTCATCTTTCTGAGTTTTTGTGTCCTTGTCTGTAAGTTCTTGTCAATGAATGACCTCTGCCTCCTTCCTGGGCCATGACAAAGACAAAATGAGAAATGTGTGTAAACTATAAAGAGAAGTGCATATGAAAAGACTTATACATTTTTTTCAAAAGGCAAAAATATAAAAAAATAAATTCATCTGTCTATATATAATAGCACGTTCCCGGGTAGGAGAGGATAGGATGAACAGGTTTCCAAGCCACATCCATGACTTGGGTGGTTCTGCTTGAACAGACAGGCTGCCACAGGGAGCCTGGAGCTCAGGCAGGTTCTTCCCGGTTTGGGGATAGCCTTTCTCTGGGGTTCAAAGACACATCGAAGTAACCGGGGGCAGAACAGTTGCTGGGTGTGCCTCTGGTTGTCCTCGAGAAACAAAAGCTAAGACCCACGGTTCTTCTCATACGAAGTGAAGCAGCTTTGCAATGGAAAGACAAGACAGCAATCCGCCCGGAGCAATTATGTTTTCATGATTATTCCCAAGCTGCTGTGTCACAAATCACATTTTCCATCCCCGGGCATGTTGCTGCAGCGCGGCTCACTGCCGTTCCCATCATGCCACCAGCTGACCGCCCCAGCCAGCCCGGGGAGCAGCAAGCCAGTGGCTCATTAACCGCAATACCTGCCCACAGATTGCAAACCCAGCGGAGCCGATGCTGTGTATCTAAGGAAATTCTCCCCATTTTGAAAAGGACTACAAAGTCCTTTTTACTCCCAAACGTCTGTTGGGATTTTTGTAGAAAGACAGACCATGAAACCCTCGAAGATTTTCGTGTCGACCTGCACTACAGCACAGCTGAGAGCGCTGATCCTGGGCGTAGCTTTGACTCGTAAGCACAAACACAAACACACCCAGGCGCCTCGGCTTTAAAATATGGGGATTTAAAGCGCCAGGCCTGCAAGCGCGGGAGCGCCGCAATGCTCATGCCGCCATCATGTGGCTGGAGGAGGAACTGCTCCGTGAATGGACTCGGCCACATTCGATGTGGACCCATTTGTCGTTTCCTTCCTTCCTTCCTTTCCTCCTTTTCTTCTTCCCTCCTTCTTTCCTTTCTTCCTCCTTCCCTCCCTCCTCCTTTCTTCCTCCTCTCCCTTCTTCCTTTCTGTCCTTCCTCCTTCCTTCCACTGGGACAAACTCTGCGATACAAACATGCATTTGAAACAGCTCCTGCTTTTAAGCACTGTGGCGAAAGAGACAAGGTAAGGTGGAAGGGAAGTAGCTGAGTTAAGCGCACTGCTTGCCAGGCCCCTTTCCTGGGCTCCTGGGACTTTACGTGTATTATCGCAGTTAATTCTCACAAAAGCCCTGTGTGGTAGGCGGTGATATTGACAGAGTCGTCAAATGAAAGTAAGCGGGCACTCGACACATTCTTGATGACTCTGTTGTTAAAACAGGTTGGGTGAATTCAGTGTCAAATTGTGCAGCTCATATTAAGAAGAGCTGATTCCCAGAACTTCATAGGCTGTACATCTAGAGGGCACGGAACAAATTATGCTTTTGCTGACTTATTGCTTTGAATAAAAATCAGTATTTCACCCCCCCCCCCCAAAACGCTTTAAAACTATGCCCTTATCCATTGTTCTGTTAGAGTGTCTTCTAATTCTTAATTTGTAAAAGCTCTTCGTATCCTGGCGACATTATCCTTTTGTGTGTTATAGGAGTTGCAAATACTTTCTCATAATCAGTTATTTGCCTTCTTTCTTTGTGGAGTTTCTTAACAGTTAGAATTTTTTTAATTATTAATATTAATTTTTAACGTAACTATAGCTGCTAATTTTCCTTTTCCTTTACAGCTTATGGGTTTCTCCATCTTGCTCAGGAAGGCGTCCTCCACCTCAAAGTATGAATATAGTTTTTAATATTATTTTTTTAAGATTGGCACCTGAACTCACATCTGTTGCCAAACTTTTTTTTTCCTTCTTCTCCCAAATCCCCGCAGTACATACTTGTATATTGTAGTTGTAGGTCTCTCTGGCTGTGCTGTGTGGGATGCTGCCTCAGCAGGGTCTGATGAGCGGTGCCATGTCTGTGCCCGGGATCTGAACCACCCAAGCAGAGCATGCGAATTTAACCACTTGGCCACGAGACCAGCCCCTTTAATATTATTTTTTAACAATTATTTATTTTTATGTTTACATTTAGTCCATGAGGATTTATTTTTATACTTCTTTTAACATAGCTTAACTTCACTTTGATCCAAATGTGAAATCAGTTGTCTCTGCACCGTTAAAATACAGTCTGTCCTTTCCCCACTGAGCTGAAATGGCACATTTATCATAGAGTGAGTGCACATTTATAGCTGGGTCCTGTCTATTCCACCAACATATTTATGCATCTCGACTACCATACCGCTTTCATCTGGTAGGACAAGGCCCCACCACTTACTACTTTTCTCTTACAACATATTCTTAGCCATTATTAAACATTAACTTCTACATCGTATATGTATACATTGTCAGTATTTTTATAGTAAACAGGCGTTTCTTCCATTAATAAAAACAGTCTTCATTTCTGTATCTTCTACAGAGCTTACATTGTTTCTTTGGGCACCTGGCGGAAGAGAAACGCCTCCCATTTGGTTCCTGTCATGAGAAAGGTGGAGCTGACCTTTGAACCTGCTAGAGGGAATCTGATTGGCCAGACTGAGTCAAGGTTTATTCCACTGTTGCAGGGGAGGGGGTCTCAGGTACTATAAACCCACTGCCAGGGGTCCACCCCTCTTACTGAACAGTGGTTGTTTTCAGGAAATGGGGGTGATTGTGAAATGGGCAGAGAGTCTGAAGGTGTTTACTGTGTTCCTTAGCCCCAAATTCATTCAAAAATCATTTATGGATTGCTGTTTATATGCCAGGGCTTGGGACCAGGGAATCAAAAATAAATCTGTGACAGTCCTTGCATTCTAAGATCTCATGGTCTAGAAGGAATAGACATATATGAAGACAAAATAGGTGCCCTACTAGATAGAAAAGTGTAATGGGGGAGCTGGCCTAGTGGCCTAGAGGTTAAGTTCCTGGGCTCCGCTTTGGCAGCACAGCCCGACCTGTGTACCACTCATCAAGCCATGCTGTGGCAGGCGTCCTACATACAAAATAGAGGAAGATGGGCACAGATGTTAGCTCAGGGCCAGTCTTCCAGAGCAAAAAGAGGAGGATTGGCAGCAGATGTTAGCTCAGGGCTAATCTTCCTCAAAAAAGAAAAAGTGTAATGGAGACATGTATCTATTGTGCTGTGGTGACGTTAAGGGGGGAGCAGTGAAGTCCTCAGAGGTGAATCAAGGATGTGATCCGAGAGGAGTGGACACCGCGTGAGGGCATTGTGTCACGTTGCCCCTTCCTTCACAGGGGTCTCAGTCCTGGCTCAGCTCAGCAGTAGAAAGGTGTGTGTATCATTACTCTTGTGTGTGTACATGTGTGCAAGCCGACCTGGCTTCCCTTGCACAGGAGCCTAGCTCAGAGCCACAAAAGTTGCAGACTTAGGTTGAGAGAGTGATTGAAGGTTTGAGGAAGGAAGCAGCTCATACACGTCCTTTTCTTCCCTATCTTCAAGCGACAACACAGGCAAGCATGTCAGAAAAGACAAAGTTCCCGCTGTCCCAGGAAATGGGAGCGTATACACTGAATAAAGACTCTGCTTCATCCTGTACCACCTTCCGCCGCCTCCCCGCTGACACACAAGTGCTGTTTGTTTGAAAGTTTATCTCAACGGGAGATTTTAAGGAAGGGCTGCTTGACATCGCCGTAGATCCTGTGTTCTGCTTCAGCTGTTTTTTGATGTTTGTCCGTTCACACGGATGAAGTCATGAAGATTACGATCTAGGGCAAGATGATATTTTCTGCGGCAATTATTGTTCTTGGAAATAGGAGAGCAGAGTATGAGAGAATGCGAGGGATGGAAGGGATTAAGGCAGCCAACCAACACACCACTGGGTTAACCCCTGAGGGAAAAGAGACCCAGAGAGTGATGTGACTTGGCCAAGCTCACACAGCTGGTTCGTTCTGCACAGAATTATCTAAAGAAAACTCTTCCCAAAATGCTTCACCATCACATCGGTATGCGATTAAATGGAGGCCTCTTTTGATAGAGGCCATCACTTCTTTTTTCCCAAATATCGAGGACAGGGTTATTCACAATTTTTTGTATGTGAAAGTTTGCAAATATAAAATTCTGTTCAGGAGTGTGGAATGCTTCCAAAACCATAAAAAATATAGACTCTTCTCCAAAGTAAAGGTTTCAACCAAGGAAAGGCTAATCTGGTAGGAAATACTTATTCCCCACTTCACAGGTCTCCCTGAAGGAAACTTCCCCTTAAATACTCCTGTCCGTCTGCCTATTGTTCCCCAGAGAGAGCCCCCAAAGTCATCTAACTGGAGAGTTTGGGACATAGACCATCCTTCTGTTCCCCTTTAACATTCCATAGCTGCTTGCAGAGGGCAGCTGTGTTCCTTGCCATGTAGGATAAGATCTTGCCACAAAGAGAAAAATGTCTTTTTTTCTAGCACTGTCAGTGGCCAGGTGGAAAAGTCAACCAATTTTACCAAGCCCATTATTGCCTCAATCTCCAGTATTCTGTCAGTATTAAAGCTGGCATTTTGTTCTCCTTCTGTCAACCCTCTTGGGTCTCCTGTTGATTTAGACTTCCGACAGGGATAAAGGGCATGCTGCATTCACCCGATCCATCAGCGAATGTCAACATGCATTAGCAGTAGCTAATTTAAAGACTGCGTAGCATCCTCAAGATTTCTACAAGTGTCAAGTTGATCCACAATTCCATGGGAAATGTAAATGCTTTACTTCATCCCCGTTGAAAGATGTCTCAAAACTCAACACCTTTTTTTTCTATACTTTTTAGACAGTAGCACAGCAGAATGTATGACTGATGAGAACTGAACTCAGCCTTCAAAACCAGTCACTCGAAAGAGAAGAGTCCAAGAGCCAAGCAAAACCTGGGAGCTTGAGGGAATCTCATGGGCTTCTTTCCCGGATGCTTGGGTTATTTCCTCTGCCTCCTCGAGTCTCACAGAATCTCAGAGTTGGGAAGGTTCTCGAAAGTCATCTAATGCAAACCACCTTGAGGGATTTGAAGTCCTGCTACAATAACCCCTGTAAGCATTTATCCAGGCTCAGCTTCCCCACTGCCGGAGAACTGGAGTTTAACAAAACCAAAGGTAGCCCATTCCATCTTTGAACAAATCTATTTGTGAGGAAGTTTTGTTGCGGTCGATGGTTGGTTTTTCATAGCCTGCTGTAAGTGGCCCCCCTGAACCCCAACTAAATTCTACTCTTTGTAGGACCATCCTGCAATTCATCAGTTCATAGATACGTATTTGTTTACATTTTATCTCTGAACTTGGAGTGCTTCTTAACAATCGAAGGCATCTTTGACTGTGCTTGGCTGGGCAGAGGATGTGACATATATGTTGTTTGTGCATGTGTGAGCTTGGCTGTTCCTCGGAGTGTGGTGAAAACCACCGGCTCTCAACATCTCAGTCATCAAACCATTGAAGTACTGTTATAATAAGGAACAGAAGTCTTTTTGGGGACCTAAAAAAACCTTAACAACTTAAACTTTCTGAAAATCACAACAGCACCAGCATCAAAACGTTCAGAAGGCATCTTGAAAAAAAAAATGGTGAAGACCATAGTAGAGCATTCTTCAACAATGTGTATTACAATGTTCTTATAAAGAGAATAAAATTAATGGCATCATACAACAAATGGCTTAACTGATGTGCCTAATACATTAAGCGCAATAACAATTTAGAAAATGAAACATTTGTTGTTGATCTATGATGTGCTAGTAACTGCTAAACCCTGTCTGTATTTTATTCCACTTAATCCACATAGGAA